GGGGGAGTGGGGGCGCGCGGTGGTGACCAGACTACATGTCCCAATTATGTAAGAGGTCAACACTCTTTGGATATATTCAAAACCAATCAAAACAAATCTCCTATCCCTCGAAAAAAAAAAAGAAGAAAACTTTTCATCTCAAAAACATCATGTTTCTGGGTGACAACTTGTGCTGCTGGGTGGGAACATTTTCAACAAAAATATTTGTTTGTTAGCGCAACAGGTAACAAAATGAGTGTGTATCAAAAGTTCTGTGTAGAGAGGGAGGAAAGGGACACTTTGCAGCTATCCTCTCCGCATCTTCAGCCTCATTTTCACAAATTGAGAAACACACGCTCACCGAAAAAAAATATATATATAACAACCAACCACACAAGAAAATATACACCTAAGCAAACAAATGCACCCCCCTCCCCTCCTCACAGATCATCATTCAATTCCGCTTAAAAAAACACAAGATTTTCTCATTATTCACACACACACAGACAGACGGAGAATTCACAGAGCCCACAGATCTACGCTGCACGATGCAGTATCTACTCATACACATGGCATTAAAAAATACAAGAGGGGGGTGAGAGAGCTCGACAACCCTGATCCACAAGTGGTATCCACGGAATCGTCTTAACAATTCCGATCCACAAGTGGTATCCGCTGAATCGTCCAAACAACCCCGATCCACAAGTGGTATCCGCGGAACCGTCCTCGAGCCCCACACACTCTCTCCAACACTAGAGTACAGCATACTGGTTATTGCAGACCCAACCCCATCATTAGGGAGAGGTAGAACAAATATATATATCATACATTCTAAACACATCTACACACAAAATACCGACGCTCTACAGCCAATGAATAAATACCACAATCTAACGACTGCTGCAGATCCATATTTTTCCACAACTGCTGTACGTCTGCACTGGGAATTGAGTGATGAATGGAAAAAGGCGAACCAACACACTGAAACCGAGTTGAGAGGCACGCCCACAAACAGGGAGATCCCGCATGCATGCACGCACTCACTCACTCACGCACACACACACACGGAGAAGGGAGCAGAGAAGAGCAGGTAAGTACATTTCTGAGACTAAGAAGACTCTTATTAAAGTCACTGCCCGCTGAATCTGTTGAGCTCAGCTTCCTCTTACACCCGTCGCTGGGCGTTTTATCATCTCTTATTCCTAGACAGACGCGGATGTGACAGTCGATCCTTTCCCTCGGGCCCCGCTCCTTTCAGCGTCTGCACGGACGCACAAAACGCACGACAACACCACCATCGGTGACGTATATGCCACAACACTTCCGCATCTATGCACAAATAAAATGGTGGAAATGGAAACAGAAAGACAACAAGAACTCTGTGTATCATGATTTGTACATGCATTGAAATAAAACTCTAAGCTTATATGATTATAATTTTTTTTTTTTTTTTAAACTGCGATGAGATGGAACAGAGGTTATATATATAGTCGACTTTCTCACCTTCACGAGTACAGAAGTAGTAACACTGAATACATCGTGTAAGCCGTGGTGCACACCTGAAGGTGAAATACATAGGCTGATTTCACCACATGTTAACAAAGGCCAACCATATTTCTTTTTTTTTTTCTCTGTCTTTCTCTCTCTCTCTCTCTCTCCCGTCGTTTTCACATCAAGTGTCCATTCAGTTCCACAAACACATGTTTCAATATCCAAAAGTAGACTAACATCAACGGTGGAAAGGGTGCCGAAATGGTTGTGTGCATGTGCAAGAACACAAACACGCATGCATGCACAGAGTCGGCTTCACGGAAAATTTTGGTGTCGGATATAAATGCCATTGAGGTGTAAATGACAACCACGATGATGATGATAATGATGCTGATGACGAAAATATCTAGGGCGAGGTGCACACTCCCATGAAGCAATGGTGACGACGACGACGACGACCAAACACGTCCCACTCACTCTATCTCACGCGTCTCTTACTCCTTCCTGGCTTTCCTTCTTCGTGGACTGCTGGATGTCCTGAGATAGACCAGAAGAAAAAAAATCGTCAGCCGGCCACTCAGATGTATCAAGCCCAAAATTCTGATTAAAAATTATTTTTTTGAAGTTTCTTAATCTCGGGGTTACCAGTGCTCAAAAAATATTTTGTTGACAACAAATTTAAAACGCTGAAAAAATTATCAAGAAAAATATGTGAAGTAGACACAGATGTTGAAAAAATGAACGTTTTTTTCACTGTCCAGAAAAATTTTGCTCTCTGGTTTTAGAATATTTGAACAGCTGGCTGACGAAACATTTCTCCCTGACAAAAAAAATGTGTCCTCCATCCAAAAAAAAAAAAACCCAACAAAAAACCATTACCACATGACACCCTAAGGGCCTGGACGGGGAGTCCATTGTTGGATCCTAAGCAAGGGGAAAGAACCCACCTCCCGTGAATACAGGCCTTTAAAAAACATATTTTAAAAATACTAAACAAATTCCCAAAATCCTGAAAAAATAAAAGTTAAAAAGAAAACTGAATGTAGTTTCAGAAAAATATAACTTTATATATGTGCAAACTGTTGGAAATGTTCTCACTTTAGTTCAATCGGGGTGTCCGACCCGTCACTCTCACTCTCAGCCTCGCGGTCGGGCCCTAGATCTAAATTCTATAATTTCTCCGTCTGATCAATCGGAATCGCCCCAAACTCTTCCTACAACGTTTTCATCAAAATCTGAGCCATCTGATTTGTCACATGCTCGTTTTTGCTCAAATCCATCGTTATTTCCGTTTTCGAACTCAATTGTGTCGCTTTTCAACAAGTTGAGGCACTTTCGAAGTGTCGGTAACGCGATCGCACTTCGATCAGCTCTAATACTAAAACTACTAGCCCGAAAAATTTCGTTTCGGTATCAAACGAAAGAAGAAACTTTTTGCTATACTATGCAAATCAAAATCCCGGCCCCAGAGTCTCATCAAGGCGAGACTTTCGTTTCTAAAGACGCTGGGTCGGCGCGGGCGGTTCCGGGCGAGTCAGGGTGGAGCGCGTAAGGGAATTCCCGGGCGATCCCGGGCGAGTTAGGGTGTAATGTGTTAAAGTTTGAGAAAAGAGAAATTCTGAATATCTAATAGCTCTGTGACATTCAACTGTACCAACAAAAAGTCATATAAGTGCCGAAGAATAGATCTGTTAAAAGAGAGAAACATACACAAAAAAGGAGGAGAGATAAAGACGACAAATATTTGATAGAAAAGAAGGAGCAAACCACACCAGAGCTACCACCAACCACCCACTCTCACTCAGCAGGTCTCTTTTTTTTGAACAAACAAGAGCAGGTAAAATCTACTAGGAGAGGCCTTCAGTCCGACTAGAACAGAAGGAATGCACAAACTAGAATTTAAAAGTAGAAAGTTGTTTCCGTATTTGTCAACGTTATTCTATATCTATTTTGAAAAAAAAACAAGGGGAAAAAAGGAGAAGAAGAGAGAAATTTAATGTTGATGCCCTAGGCTTTGGCAAAAATTTGAGTTCTCTTCGACGAAGTCCAAGCTTTCTTACTTCCGCCCCTCCATCATCCCTTTATCTGTCTTCATCCCTTTCTTTTTCTCTGTCTCCCTCCCTCACCCGGCCCCTTCCCTCTTAATCCCCCCTCCCAGCTCAAACCGCCTCACACGAGTGATGGATCGGCCTGAGATGTCTTTCGTTACCGGCAACGATTCAAGAGATCAAAATCTTGCCTTCCAGACCTAAAATCATAAATATGCACTCTAATATTAATAACCTCTTTGCTAATATCTTAGATTATGCACTCTGACCTACTTCCGGTTCACTATGGAGTACACCAATGCCTTCTTACATAGCATGTAAAGCAGTGTTTTTGAGCGTGTAGGAGCATAGCATAATTTTATTTTTTGATCCAAAAGAAGTGGTTCGGGGTAAGGTACAGAGTGCAGTCGGTACTATGGTGATACTTGTTTTTCTATTTATTTGGTGCGGCTCATACGGTGCAGGTTTTGTATAATAGAGATTGTATAGAGAGCGAAAGAGCGTCGGCCATGACTGTGAGCGATCTAGGTGTATAATAAATCTACCGTATGCCTAAAATACGAAATATATCATGGCACGGTGACTTGTAGTGTAGATATTACAGGTTTATGTTCTCTCTCTGTGTGTGTGTGTGTGTGTGTGTGTGTGTCTGTCTGTCTGTCTGTCTGTCTGTCTGTCTGTCTGTCTGTCTGTCTGTCTATCTACCTATTCTTGCTTGAAATATTCGAGAATTATGTCCCGTTTCTATACCCCCCC